TCAATGAAAGATAAGACATTTTCACATTTTGATTATTACAAACACTAATTCAGTAAATACTTTTGTGTTATCTAATCAAAGTACTTCCAACATCTTATCTGCTTTGAATGGTGGTATGGAAAAATAGTAATTTAAAGATATTAAGTTGAAACTCAGCTTTTTCTAATTTAGACAGCCCTGGAGAACTTCACCACAAAAGTTCCCTTTTCTCTAATTATCAGATTTTGTTCACAAAAAAAAAAAAAAACACAACCAAACCTGTTTTATAAAGAACTTAAACTAATCAATGCAGTGGTCACAGGTGGAAGACGAAAGGTTATAAAAGTTCTCCGTATTTAACAGCCTGCAGGCCACTAAGTCTCTCCTATATATCCTTTCACTCACTCTGAATATCCCAATCCAAAAATGTTTGGTTCTGAAGAAAAATAACGATTTCTATGTCTCGTATGAGGTCTGGTGACTGCAGGATGAAAAGTGTTTGCAGTGGGCTCACTTTGTTTTGGGATATATTTAAGATTTGAATCTGCACGCTCATCACAATTTAATACGGCCTCCAGTAAACATGACTCCCAGACTACAGGCACAGCTGAGTGCACAGAGGTGCAACTGCAACAGGACCTACAGACCAGAGAAGCCCAAATATCAGGTTATAAAAGGGAGGAAACCTGGGTGAGTGCTGGCAGCTGGATGCACAGGGGCCCTTTCACTGCTTGCACCTGAGGCCACACCAGCCACGCTACCGCACAGCTTGTGCCCCAGTAACCTGGGCATCTGTTACCTATCAAAGACAGTAGTTTTAGACCTGTAGTACTTTGACAGCATATATTCAAAAAGTTTGTCTCTTATTAAGAAATTCTCTGTCCCCCCATACCTTCTCTGAAACAGAAGCAAAACCTTTGGTTGGATGCTGAGTTCTCATATCAAAAACATGAAATTTTCCCTCAAGCGACGTGGCCACTAGCTTGTTCATATTTATATCTTTTCTGTCAAACTCCACACTGCAAACCTGGAAATATAAAAATAAATAAATAAATAAACATTACATTCAGCCTTGAAATTTAGCCACTGCTAAAAAAATGAGGGCTTTGTGATTTGTAAATAGATATTGATCATTGGGTATTTTTACAATGACATCACCACCAATTTGGAAATAACAAAATCATCTGAAAACATGAATCCACTGAAAAATACCCCATGCTATCCAGACCAAGAACTTGAGGGGGTACTATTTGGTGAACTTGAAGAAAACAACTCCTTGGCACAATCTCAGCAGAAATGTCTTCTGGATAAATTTCTGGTAGACAGAGTCCTTTTAATTTTTCCATCCTGCATAGCAGCTGGAATGAAAAATACTTTTATGGTTTCCTTACCCCATTCTTAATGTTGGTCTCCCATCGTAGTGACATGGTTTTTAAGTCAAACAATTTAATGTCCCCATTGTCGTATCCAGCACATACAACACGTTCCTCTTGATTGTAAGCATTGCCTGGACACAGAGAAAGAATTAATCAGAACACAAAAACCCTCTTTAGTCTGTAAATTTCAGCCCTCCTAAGCCTGCAATTTCAACTTACATTTATGCCAGAAAAATATTACTATTGGGATATTAAGATTTAATGAACAGTCTGGTTTTCAAACCTGAAAGGTATAGAAAATATGGCTTTAAAACTGGCAGTCTGTGTCTTTTAAAAATATGAACAAAATTCTTATTCCCCCTGCCAAGTACTGCCTAAACCACACAGACTAAGTACTGCACACTGTTCTTGTAAACCTATACAAATACATCCCTTCTCTAAATCTTCATCTGCTATAAACCGTGCTCCCCAGACAGCACCACGGCAGAAAGCGGTTCCTCAACCAGCCTCTCAAGCGTGAAATGTTAGTGGGACAAGAAGACACTTCTCCAGACACAAGACCCGTAGGGAGGCCCTGCGTGTTACCATGGCCATCACTAGACAGATGCAGAAGCCTGTCTCCAAAAACTCTCAGCTGACAGGATCAAGGAAGTACATCAGCGTCTGAAAGAAGTTAGCCCAGAGCACGTAGTTCAAGATGAACCTGGCCTTGGCTCAAGCTTCAGTAATTCAAAAGAAAACTGAAGAAACTACGAGGCCACTTTTTTCTCTGTTCGTCAAAGCAGAAGACAAAGGTATCAACAGCAATAAGCATTACAGTTGCACCTGCTTGCCAGGAAACGTCCTCTCCTTACTATCAACTTTGTTATTATAATCCATGCACGTATTAGCATTTTGTAAAACTCACGCCCTGCCTCTGGAGGCAAAAGTGGAGCTAATCCAGAAATACCAGCTTGTGTAGAACACAAGCGGCTTGTTCTCTCCAAAGGAAAAATGCAGAGTACACATCAAGCATCTCTGTTGTCTTTAATCAGCTCTTAGCTTCAAGGATCTTCTCTTAAATTAATGCCTTAATGCTTGACAGCTGGAACGACGCTACAACAGCGATTGGTTCCTCGTGCACTGCAACATTTACGCTCCTTCAGGACAACGCAGCTGGATATACTGTTTGTACATTTCTGGGCATAGAAATAAAGCTTGCACAGCTTATCTGTGAAATGATTGACCAAAGGTGATAAGAGAATGAGTCCAAAACCCAGCCATCACAAAATTGGCTTCTTTTGAAAAACACATAAACTTAACAATGTTGAAAAGCAAAACCTGCTACTGATTGGTCCATACAAAATAAACTATTCCATAACATCCTGAAATACTTTGATAATTGTCAAAGCACAGTCATATTAGGGGTAGGAACGGTTATAAATTACCAAATGCTACTGTCCAGCAGTCTCTTTTGCTCTCCCCCTGTACAGGTTCCATATTAGCGACAGGAGTATCTTTCTGTCTTGGGTCCCATACCTTCACAGTTCCTGTGAAAGAAGGACAATGGATTTTGTATTACGGATACACTGTCACGTTGCGTTCATCTTCCCAGGGAAGGCCTGATCATTCAAAACACAGGAGCATCTCTTTTAATTCCAGAAAGCCAGACTGCATTTAGCGGATAGAAAAAAATAAACAGAAATAAAGCCAAAGTATTTGTTAAGGATATATTTTCTCTAGCTGATATTTTGCATTTATTCTGCTTTGCATTCCTTCTGTCCCATGCTCAGTGGCAACAGTATCTTTTGCTTATCTACAGCTTCTAAAAGAATCAGAGAACATTTATCCCAAGCAAGATTCAAAAGACAGCGTATGAAGAACTAGTTGCAACAGATTTGTAACTAGTTCAGATGGCAGACTGCGCCCTGCCATCAAAGCTCGCAGGCTGCTTTCTCAGAATAACTGAAAAGACTTTCAGAGTTCACTAACTCACCATCTCGACTGCCAGTCACAATTTCTGGTGCACCTTCCCCAATTCCTAAGCCACCTACACCATCTATACTGTTTATGATCTCCTTATGACCTTTCACAGAATAGACTGGTATTTCAGGAGCTTCTAAATTCCTAGGCAAGAAAGAAAAGAACAGATAATATGGCAATTTCCGTGACACTCAGGATTTGTATAAAAATGGGAGGAAACTTGAGCACAGATTATAGAAGCTCAGATTAACAGTGGGAACAAAATACGGATGTCACCATTAAGACCCACGAGTCTGTGTTTGATTCCTTCTTTGGCTACTGCTTTAGACTGGTCTGAAAGTGTTTGCTCAGTTCTGGACTTCCCTGTTTGCAAAGGCAGATGTGGGATTCACCACAGCAACCCTTAAGAACCAGTTTTTATGTTGGGCTCAAAATGAGTCACGCTGCAGATCAAAATGCTCCCATTAGCTTTACTTTCAGTAAGTAAAGTGACCTTATTCACTGATCCCCACCTAGCTCTGACTACTGCTCTTCAACTTCAGATGAAGGTTGCTTCCGCCTGTGGGTCTCACAGTTCTTTCCCACCGATTCTCATCCTTCGAGAATCCTTCAGAATTTTATTTTAAATTTCAGCTAGTGACTAATCCACGTCATCCTTGCTATTCCAACAAAATAGAACCAATAGTTCCTTGGCAAGGGAAATAAAATAATAATAAAAGCTTTTTTACCCTATAACTTCATTTGATAATCCATTTACCTACACAAGTGAATTGTGCAAATTATTCAGGGACCTGAAAAAACATTGAAACTTCAAGATTAAAAGTATGTATTTAATCTAGGCATCACATTTAGGTTGAACACAACCTCTCCTACTCGTGCATCCGTTCAAACGCCTCTGTTCAGAAGAGGACCTAGCAGAACTTTAACGGGTTTTTGTAGCTGCACACAGAAGATGCAAGTGAAACAGCACTGCATTAAACCGTTTTGCCCAATTCATGTTGTTTTTACAAAGCAGGCGTGTTCCAATACAGTAGTCAGCAAAGCTTACGACTGGGTCCCAACCACATGCAGGACAGAGAGCGTTTTATACACAAGCCAGCCACACAGAGAAACATCAGTTCAGACAGACACCTACGACATCAAATGAAAAAGCTTCGAAAGAATAATATCCGTGCTTACCATATGTTAAGGTTTCCACCAAAATCTCCTGTAGCTAAGTATCTTTGCTGCAGAGACGTAGCACCAAAAGTTCCACATTTTATAGGTTTAGCCTTTTCAATCTTTTAAAAAAGGATACATTCTGCGTCAGCGCATGGAAAAAAGCAACACAACCGCGGACTGCGGCAGCAGGTTTTTTGAGAGTCCCCGGGTGGCAGATTTCAGTGAAACGTACATAGGCTGTTTAGCGTAAAATACAGTCGGAACGCTATCGAGGGCACATTGCACTCTGCGTTTATTTCTGCGTGCACAGAAAGCGGAGACTTCAGTTCAACGGTCTTTAAAAAAAAACCCCAAACAAGCAAACCCCTCGCCTCAGCTTGCTGAGGATACTCGGAGGCTACCGCCTCTGCCGATCTGCAAGCAGGGCGCAGAGGGAGTCCCGGCTCTTCCCGCAGCCCTGCGGGTACGCCGGGGAGGGGAGAGTTAGGCCGCTCCCTCGGTGCATCTGGGCAGCGCTTGTGCATGCACCTGCAGCGCCCCGTGCCTGCAGAGCCACGCCGACGGAGAGAGTTCACTCGCTCGGGGCCCCGTGGGTCTTTGTGGGCCCCGGGCGCTGCTACCCCTGAAAACGAGCAGATCCGCAAAGGTCCGTCTGCGTTAAAAAAAAGCCCCCGAAACCCAACGACGACCGGAGCCCAGAGCTCTCCCCGGAACGCCCACCGTGACAACAAACCAGGGCACGCGTGCCGGGCCCGCGTCAGTAAACGGAGCGACCCCAGTTACGGGGTTCGCAAATTTAACAGGCAAACCAGGCCCGCTACGGCGGCCGCCTTCTCATCTTTGTCCCGCCGGCTCTGGACGAGCGCCGGGGCCT